GGCGCAATTCAAAGGCACTATGGGGGAGACTACACTACCTGATAAAAATGCTCTATGGTGACTAAGGACCAGATTTCGGCTGCACTGATTACAAGGCGACGAACCATTACGTTGTCGGTACCTGCGATAAGTGAGATATTTCAGGACCACGTCCCGTGATCAATCATGCAGAATGTGTAGGAGCCATCGGCGGGTGCAGGCCCGAATTTGAAAAAAACGTTATGTGGCGACTTAGTGCCAGTTTTGTTTTCTTGTCTCAGTTGTCTGGCTGTATTGGCTACTTGGTTACGAGGTAACGCAGCACGTGGTTTTGTTTGCTTCCGTAGCAAGATATCCTGTGACCAGGCCTAGATCGCCTGTCCAGGACGGGTTAACTGTGTTATCTAGCCATCTGCTGGCGTAAGGGCTGAACGTTTCTTTACCGCAACGCGTCGAGGGCTCCTCCTTCCCTCCTGATGGAGCAGCTCTGCAGGTCTCAGTTTATAGATCAGAATACTTGGAACACGGGAATTTTGGGTGGCACTCGGTACATTGTACGAGGGGCCACTCAGTTACTTTTTTACCACGGTAGAGATGAAAGTGAGTATAAAATTGCCTAGCACGTAGTAAGTCATGCCTCAATCTGAGTGGCGAAATGAGTGGAAGGGTTGAGTTTCTCTGCTGGTGTGATGCTGAGTTTGGCGGTGAAGGAGATGACTGCGCCATGATACTAAGGGCCAGATCCCACTGCCAAAGAGGATTGAATTAAGTGGCTGAATCTGGACGAGTTCCACACAGAGATGCAGAAAAACAGATCTATCACAATTTTTTGCACCTCTCCACAAACACGTCCAGATTCAGAGGCTTATCCCAATCCTCCTTGCCAGTGGGATCTGGCCCTAAAGCTCACGTTGTCTTCTTCTTAATAAATTTCCATTATTTGTAATCTTCTCTCATTTGGGCCTCAACCCGTGTGACTTCTCGAGGCACCATTTTTGGCAATTGGCAGAAAGTCCGACTTGTGTCTTTTGTGATTTGCTACGGCCGGGTGGCATTTCAGCATAATTAGGATATAAAATTCACAGATTTTGCTGCAATACCAACGCTGTGTGAGTATGCCGTAAGGACATAGGCTCCGGCCACACCACTCTCCAAGGGCCTTGCTCCAGGACTCTCCAAATATGCAAAATGAAGATGAATCTTCCTGTAGAACATGGAAAGGTACACCAACATACTTTTTGTCTTTTGTGTGTGGGGAGAGTAGCGGAGAGTGGCCCTAAATGTGCAAAATGAGCTGCACAGCCATAATTTCTGTCTCTTTTGTGCGTTTGGTGAGTAGTGCGCCAGAGGCATAGGGTCTCACTGCACTACCCTCCCCTCTCCGAATTCCGAGAGTTTTACATCGCTGCACTAACTATCCTATTCCACCATCCAAAAAAATGCGGATAGCTGTCACAAAACTCCTTTGAAAAGCACTCTCCAATGATGGAGAGTGCCCAGCCTAAATGCTGATTTTTCAGATGGACCTCCGCCGGACTCTCCAAAATGCTCCCAATTTGGAGAGTGTGACCCAATTTGGAGAGTGTGCCTCGAATCTAAGAGGACAAATGCGAATCCGCGTGTCCTCTAGTGCTGTTCCACTGTCTGCTAGTGAGACCGAATAGTTAGTGTAGGGGTCAACCCAAAATCACAAAGTCGGAGAGCTTTTCAGCGCTCCGCCAACTCTCCCATTTTTTGGAAAGTGGAGAGTAGTGCAGCCAGACCAATACTCACAAATTTGGCTGCCTTTGAGATTCCCAGGCCTGGCTGCACTACTCTCCAAATGTGCAAAATGAAATGAATCTTCTGCTAGAACGTGGAAAGATAGACAGCCATAGCTTTTGTCTTTTGTGCATGTGGAGAGTAGTGCAGTGAGGCCCCCAGTTTGCTGTTTTGCTTTGTGCGTGGCCACACAACTCAAGAAACGTAAAACGAAACCAATGCATCTTCCTGGAGGAAATGAAGAGGTTCATGCGCTTGCATGTATCTTGTCACCTTTCGTGAGCAGATGCATTCAATTTTAATTAGTTTCGTTTCATGTGCAGTGTGGCAAGGTCCTGTTTTGCCCAGTCACGCAGGGGTGGCGAATTGGAAAAGACAATGCTTCTACCCCCTGTTATTTGCGAAATTACCCACTTGTGGGGTCACAGCAAAAGTTGTAGAGAGATTGCTCCAATTCTCATGGGTGAGACCATAGATTATGAAGAAAAAAAAGATTGTGAGCACCTCTAGAGGTGCTGGCAAATTGCTCAACCCGGCGCCCTGCAGGAGGCTGACATTTGCCACAGCAAGTGCGACCAAGGGCGAATTTGATGCCACAGCAATTGCGAATAGGGTGGGCAGGGAGGCACAGTGTGACTGTAAAAGCGTAGCGAACTTTTACAATTTTGCCCCCCAAAAAAGCAAAAACAACTTTGAGTAGGCTGTAACTCCACAAACAAAGTCGCAAAAATCTGTTGTTTTGTTTTGCTTCTTTTTTACTTTTTCCTGCTTTTTTTCTTTAGGTAAGCACCGCGCAGTCACAAAAGCTGTTTGTAATTGCATTTCAAACTGCTTTGTTGCAGTTTAGTCAGGGCCTGAGTTTCAAATGCAGTTGAAACTCGGGCTGGCCTTTTTTAGCAGTTCAGTCAGGCACGTGGCCCCTCTCTTTTTTTCCTTTTTTTTTTTTTTTTTTTTTTTTTGGGGGGGGGGTTTGAACTCTCAGGCGTGTCCCAGACATCTCAGCGGTGGCCCCACCACATGCCGAGATGCTTTTTTTCTTTTTTTTTTCAATTCTCGGGCGGGGCTGTGGCTGGAGACATCTCGGCCACAGCCCTGCCATGCGACGAAAAAAAAAAAAAAAGAAAAAAAAAAGAAGTAACTTCGGCGCAGTCACGAAAACAGTTTGTAATTGCACTTCAGGTAATCCCGCGAATACAACACACCCCCACGGGACCCCACCGGACCCGAAACGTAGGTCATATACATTCAGCATTACCGGCCCTTTTGCCTCAAGTGCAATTACAAACTCGATCCCTGACTGCGCCGTAGTTTTCTCAATAAAAAAACGGGGCACGTGCCAGACTGAACTGCTAAAAAAGGTCAGCCCGAGTTTCAACTGCATTTGAGGGCCCTGACTAAACTGCTAAAACGCAGTTTGAATTTTGAAATGCAATTACAAACTGAAACCCTGACTGTGCCGTAGTTTTCTCTTTTTCTTTTCTGTTTTTTTTTTGGCTTACTTCGTGTGGGGTTGCTGGTGGTGCTGATACGAGATGCTCGGCAGCAGCCCAGATTTGAAGGCTCCTGTCACAGTGGTATCATTCCCAACCTGCAGATTCAGTTTTGGGGTAACTATCGCGCAGTCACTAAAACAATTTGAAAATGCATTCAGGGATTCCCCCGAACATAACACCCCCCCGGGCCAACGTGGGACCGGAAACCTATCTTGTATAAATTTCTACATTTTTAGGCCTATCGCCTGAAGTGCAGAGTTTCAAACAGAAACCCTTGACTGGGGCGTAGTTTTCTCCTCCGAGTCGGTTGTTTATAGAGTGCTCCGTCCACCTCACTATCCGGCACGAATTTGTAAAGGAATCTTTATAAACCCCCCCCGGACAAAAAACTTCGTATCCATTTCCCTCCAAAGGGGGCAAAAGTGCCACAGGCCCCAACACGACTTTTGGCGTCATTTTTGCACCCTGTAAAACACTTTCCTGTCACAGCGGGCGTTACCGGCCCACCCAGGGTGCAAAAATGACACAAAAAGTCACTTTGGGGCCTGCCACACTTTTTGCCCCATTTGGGGGGAAATGAATAGAAAGGTTCGTCACGGTGGTGTGGGGGGGGTTATAACTTTTTGCAATTTGTACAGTGCCCCTCCTGCCTGGGTGGACGAAAGGCTGATGGATGGCGCTGTATTTCTGTCAACGTGTCTTCTTCTGCCGCTCTTGAATTGGAGAGCCCTTGGATAGTCCAACTTGTACAGCTTAGTGGAGCGGCGTGTACCACTATACAAATTTTTGTATATTAGAGAGTAGTCACTGTCGACAAAGACCTATCATCGCATAGGCGCCATGCTCACCTTCTATGTAACGTCCGATTTTTTTGTGGATGTTCCCCGAAATTCAACGTAGCAATTTTTTTTATTATTATTTTTTTTCAACGTAGCTTTTTTTTTTTTTTTTTTTTTTTTTTTTTTTGCAGCCAATGTCGCATGATCCAGGCGCTCCGGCCTGGTGCATGCGACAGCTGCTTTGGAATTATAGAAGCCGAAAAACAACGTAGAATGCATTCGTAGAGTCCTTTTTTTTCCTTTTCCTCTTTTCTTTTCTTTTCTTTTCGTTTCTTTTCTTTTTTTTCTTTTTTTTTTCTTTTTTTTTTCTTTTTTTTTGTTTTCCTGTGTAGAAGACTCCACCTATTGGTGGGGAGCTGCACCTGCTGGAAACCGGGTCCGGCGTCCCTTTAATAGAGCTGTTCAATAATCAAAGAATCTGCTGGAAACCGGGTCCAGCGTCCCTTCAATAAAGCTGTCCAATAATCAAAGAATCTGCTGGAAAGCGGGTTCAGCGTCCCGTAAAGAATTGTTACGAATCTGACTCAGCTTCCATGGCTGAGATAATCAACTTGCTGGGAAACAGGCCCAGCGTCCTTTATAGTCTGGAGCAGCGTATTGGCTACTCAAAGAATCAAATAGTCTGAGTTGTCTGAGTTACCTCTGTTCCTGAAAGGGTTATCTGTGGAAATAGACTGGGAGAGCTCGAGGGCTTCTCATTAGATTGTTGGTGGTCATTCTACCATCACCTTTCCTAAAATGAGCTATATTTACAAGCACCGCAAGCTTCTCTACCTATTTAAAATGACGGAGAAAAGGTAACAATAGCTAAGAGAAAAACAAAGAGGTAAAAGGAAATAAAGTAAAAATAATATTAAATTGGATGATTAGTCGGGTTCAATGGCCCATGCTCTTCTGGTTTCCAACAGGCGACTGAATATGAGCCTACCTTTCTGATCCGGGATGGCCCAGCAGTAGTCTTTTGACCAGATCTTCTGGAAGTTCTCCTTCCTCTTTTCCTCAGGTACCTTGGACTGGGAGATCTTGCGCCAGTCCGCTTGGATGACTTCCTTCAGGGTTCTCTTCATATTGCCCTGGATCCTGTGCAGGGAGTACTCCTCTTCTGAGAAGCGAACTCTGTTTCTCTCCAACCAGAGGAACCACAGACCTGTCTGTCTGGCAATGTACACGATTCTGGGGAGTGACATGTCTAGTCCTCCCAATATCAGTTGCTTATCCCACCTTCTGTCCTTGGGCGTGTTTGCGTAAGCCCGAGTCCAGATGGTCTGCCACCAAGACCAGAATTCCTGGGCCTTGGGACAGGACCACCATAGGTGTTCAGTGTCCTCTATTTGTAAGTCTTCGCAATGGGCACATCTAAGGCTCRCGTTCATTCGTTTGATAACKCACCATTTGGCCGTCGGGACACTTTGGTATGTGAAGAGCCACTCCAGGCTGGCCATTTTGATGATTGGGAACTTTTTCAAATTTCTTCCCAGATTCTGTACCTGGGTAAAGCTGGCTCTGGGAAGGTTCATCATCTGCAAGGTTTTATCCCACGTCTCTTTAACTTTCGTCGTAMGTTCGTYAGCTTTGGATTTGAGCCGGTAGCCCAGTGAGACCGAGTAGTCGAGTATTTTGACTACTGGCTGTTCTGGGGTGACGTGYCTCCATCCTGTAGCTGTGGGATTAACTTTGCAGTGCAACAGMGGAGTGCCATTCRGAATGGGAGAAAAGTGTGAGACATTTCCCCGGGTCGTTTCTTCCACTCTTTCCTTGATCATGATCTGAAGAACATGATCTGGGGATAGAGTAATGTGGTTCTCCTGTTCCTCTTTCTGCAGTTCCTCCTTTCCCATTTTCCACTCTGAGTATACCAACTGGTTGTCTTCGTCACATGATTCAATTCTGAGGAAGCTCTTCCCGCTAGGTTGATCTGTTACCCAGGTCCTTTTGGGAAAGGGTCGCTGGGTTAGCAGTGTCAACCATTGCTGGGGAATTGCTCTCTGGATGAGCGATAAGCAGTCTGGGCCGTTGGGTAGGTCGTGTAGAATTCCTCTCAGYTCTCTCCATTCCTTCCAGGACTTGTGATCTTGGTCCCATATGTGCCTGATACAGTACMCTCCTCTTCGGAWCCATTTGATCCCGAATCCTCCTTCTGCTTCTGATATTCTGAGAATCGACCCTGATTGGGTTCTGACATACGGGTTCTCAAATATCGGCTGCATCAACACTTCGTCCCTCGTGCAGGGGTCCTYGACCCTGGTAGGAAGCATCGATTTCGAAGCTTGGATGATGGGTTTCCACGTAGTGGATTGGATCCTCTTATTCAGCATATGCTTCATAAGAAGGCATTCCCATATGTCTGATGGGTTGTCTAGCCCCCATTCCTCAGCGAGGATTGTTTCCATCAGGGCGGACCAGGGTTTGGGATCCGAGTCCAGCAGTTCTCTAATTACCCATTTGGCCAGCAAAGCCTGATTTTGGGTGGTTGGGTCCAATAAACCCAGACCCCCATCATTCTTTTTCTGGGTAATTTTCCACCATGCAACTTTGGGAAGAAAGCTCTTACACGCCACTGATCCTTTCCAGAGATATCTGGAGATTTCTTTCTTGATTCTTTTCGCTGTAGCCTGATCAATTGCACGTAGAGAGAGGACATACCAAATTGTCGATAAGACCATAACGYTGATGATTAGTGCCCTGCCAAAGAGGGARATTGACCACACTTGAGACCAGATTACTAGCCTGTCATTGRTCTTGTCTTCCAAGATCTGGTTTTGTTTGGTCTTGCWGTSCCCGTAGGAGATTTCTATTCCTAGGAACCGTTCAGAAGTGTTGCTGTTCCTGACCTGCATTCCCAGATCGATGACCGGCGGCTTGTTGTCCCTAGTGAGGACCACGGATTTATTCCAGCTTACCTTGGCTTCCGAAGCTTTCTCAAATACCTGCAGACAGTTGGCTACTTCTTGTAGAGATGAGGTCGTGTTGTCCGAAACGTTGGGGAGGTCGTCAGCCAAGGCTGAGGTTTTGATTTCTAGTGTGGGGTTTATCCTCAGTCCTCGGACCGTTGGAGATTCTCTTATCATTTTCATGAGAACTTCTTGCWGAAGAACGTAGAGCAGGGGTGCTAGTGGGCACCCCTGTCTCAGGGATCTTGTGAGCTTGAAGGCTTCTGACTTGAGTCCATTGACTATGACCGAGGCACTTGAATCTTCGTATAGGCCTTTGACCCATCTTTGGTAGTTTGGACCGAAGCCCCTTCTAAGGTCCAGTTAACTCTGTCATAGGCTTTTTCGAAGTCGATTAAGAGTATAACCTCATCAGATTCTCGCTTCTTGATGATTTCCATGCTCTGGGCGATGGTCATCACATTGTCCAAGATCTGCCTCCCGTGGACAAACCCGGATTGATCCGGGTGTATC